TTTGGTGTACACGCACCTTGCGTTCGCACTCTGTTCTGTGATTGGTCCAGAAAACTAATGTCACGCTCTCGGCCAATCAAATGCAAGACCAAAACCAATAGTAAGTAGCCTACTCCCGTTTTCCCGCGCTTCGACCAGTTTGCTTCTTTTCACTTCGAGATCTAATTGGCTTCTTGCGTTATTTTCCTTTTTTTCCTGATTGGCCAACAGATAGTTCACAACAGTTAACTCACCGAGTGGGATTGAGACCGCAATATTTTCCATGCTGCTTAGAGATTCGGTCCCAGGCTGCATGTTTGGTAAACTGCTCATGGAGGACGGCCGGGAACTTGTGCCGTGTTTCAGACGAGCCACCTCAAGAATGACCCGACCAGAAGTACGCTAAGGGTACAAAATACGAGCCGAAGACTTTACAAGGGTAGAAGTAATATTTAAATCTAACCAGCCAAGCACGTTTAAAAAGGGAGCATGAATCAGCATTACAAGGGACGCCAACGAGAAGGTGGTCAAACAAAACGTTCATTTATTGGCCGAGTTATGCAAAACAATATCAAAGAATCACCTAATTTTGCACATTCTGAGAACGAGAAACCCCGTTTAAGGGGGGACTTGGTGTTGTTAGAGACGGTAAATACTTCGAACTTCTCGTAAAGCCCTAAATAGAAACGAAGGTTCGTTTATGAGAGCATCTCTCATAAGCGTCGTCCTTAGTACATATTTAACTCCATCGTAGCTAATAACAGGTATGGGCGGGTAAGGACTGGAGACGAGAGTATCCCTTGTCCTTACCCTCTCCCAACGACCACCACTTCGTAGACGTTCATCTCTTCCTAGGACCTTTTTCCGGTATGCGAATCCAAGATGGCGAGCACGGATTTCGCAAGAAGTACTTGGCGTGTATTGGCTCGCAAAACTAACTCAACCTTTAAACCGTCGTCTGTGAGTCATACATTGACTACAGGCCACAGACAAGCCATTTTTACCTTGAGCGCAGCCGCAGCAACATCTTGAGTGGCGTTCTTAAGATCCTCACCGTTGACCGAGAGGATCTGGTCACCAGCTTGAAGACGACCGTCAGCCTCTGCGATACCACCTTTCACCTGTAAATTAAAGTTGGGATTAGACAATAAAACTGCATTTGACACTTGGCAAGTAAAACCAGGCAAGTAAAACAGAATCAAGAGCAGCAATAGCTGATCTAGCTATCCAGGAAACACCTGAAAGGCACTGATTTATCATCGTCCTTGCTCTTGTTTTCGTTATGATTATTCAAAAGCGAAGGAATACAAAAATGAATCCTGTCGTAAAAGCAAAACTTATATTTTTCTTTGAAAAAAAATAAATTTTACAGCTGTCGAAATTCGTGAGTAATAGCCTCGTTTGGTTTCGAACGCTTCCGACTATTTTCGGACGGTTTCGTCCAATTTCTCTCAGTTCCGTCTGATTTCGGAGGACTTCGTCCAACTCGGTCAGTTCTGTCCGTTTTCGGACAGTTTCGTCTAACTTCAGTTCGAAGTTTCGTCTGATTTTGGAGGATTTCGGTCAAGCATGACGTCCAAAAACGGCTAGCTAAAAAGGCGACTTGCTCGGTAAGGTTGAAATATTCCGTTTAGTCTTAAGAAAATCACTCCACAGTGCACTTACCACGTCCGAAACAAATACTCCTGTATCGTTCCTGTGAAAATAAATGAATAAATAAATAAGTAAATAAACAGAATCACTTTTAAAAATAATTTCAGCGGCGGAAGCCATTTTTACTCTTGGGGATAGAGAGTCACTGAGTATGAGTGTCTCGCTCCAGGACCCGGCCAGGTCTCGAACCCAGACCTCCGGACCCGGATTCCAGCGCTCTAGCCATTAAACCAAGCCCCCCCCCCACCCTCTCCCATATAAAAATTTTCCAAAAACACATACGGAAGAATAAAACAGACTAAAGGGAACACCGTGAATGTACATCCTACCTTCTTCCTACAATACTCAAACCCAGTCCCTGACCGGGAACTTTGTTTAAGTCAAGCGTGATGTACTCGAAGGCTTCTGTGGACGAAAAAACATGGCGTCTATCACAATGATGCAGAAAGAAACGCTTATACGTCAGTAGCAGGCCTCTAAATGGTAGAGATTTCTAAATTGCATAAAAGTGAAAGAACCATTACAGGTGTACATTACACCTGTAATGGTACCATTACACTTGTCTTTAAGAGGAATTGTTGTGATTTGTGAAATTTTGTCTGAATTTCGTTTATTGCATATATCCTATAATATGCGTTAATCTTGTCTACCTTAACTAACCTGTTAGTTGTCGATTTAATTTTTCAACTATCCAGAGTTTGTCTTCAAAATAACACATTGGTTTTTCTCATTCATTAAAGCGATCATTCAAATTGGGAAAATAATAGAAAAACTGAATAGCGAGACATGGCTTATAGAAGACCAAAACGTGCATAATACCTTCATCTTTAAACTGCGATTCGTCCCTCAGAACAGCCAATCGAACAACAGCAGGAGTTTGCCTTAGTGCAGTAATAGCCATATCATGTGTGGCTTCTCGCAGATCCACATAATTGACCTAAAAGTGACGACAGAACAAACAGACATGATAAACTTAGCACAGCTCAAGGATTGTCTAGAATTTATGAGTAAATCTAAGTTGCCCAAGCACAATTAGTAACTCCCCTCCTTCCTTTTTTCCTTTTTTTTTTTTTCAATGGTCCTTGCATCATTGGAAAATCCGCGTCTTTTCAAGGTTGAAAAGTAAACTCGTCTAATCGAGAGCGCGCGTGGACGAGGGAAACACGCGAGAATAAAGTCTTCTCGTCAGTGTGTGCGTGTTTCGCTTACGCACTCACTGACAAACTCACACCCTTTTCTTGCGTTCATCCTACTTCGGCTAAAGTTCTTCTCGGTTCTTCTTCTGTGTGCAATGACGTTACGATTTCTTTAGCCGAACAAATACAGAGCAATGAAAACATCACTACAGAGATTGACAATCTTACTTCTAAGATCTGATCTCCAGCCCAAAGTCGGCCATCCTTAGCTGCGGCTCCATCTTCATACACTTCATGGATGACTATCGCACCCTAGTAATTTCAATCATAAAAATAAAGAAAAAAAGTAGTAAAAATCTTTATACTTATATACCTATGGTAATAAGGCACTCCGTAAATCTTCATGACACCACAATGTTGTTCTTCTGGCATAACTCACCAACAGAGTATCGGCGCCACCAACGATACTGAGGCCAAGGCCTGTGTTGCCTTTGGGAATCTCTATCACACATTCCTGACCAGGAATGATCGGCGCAGTGCGGGGATTTGGAGACGCGATTAACGTTGGTGTAACTACTGCGTAAAAAAGAATCAATTGGACGGTCAATCAATAAGTTTGTCGATCAATAAGCATCACAACAGTCATACAAAGAAGAGGCTTAATTTAAAATGCCAATGTCATTGTAAAAGGTAAAAATGCGCCTAGCTCCTCCAGATAGTCTACAATCCCTCTACTCAAAGAGCCACAAACATTTGATCCTAGCCAAACTTTCTTGGATTAAAAGCCCCAACTAGGGCTTTTTACAAAGATGAGGTCAGAAACGGGAAAAAACATGAAAACAGCGGAATTCCACACTCCGTTTCCTCGTCTAAAGACAATGATGAAGATTAAGATGGAAAAGATGACATATTTGACCACAAGGAATATTTTGAGGATGACAAACCAGATGACATCATAAAGGAAGCGACAACCACGATTCTCCCACTGAAGACTGGGTCAGTAGAAAATAAGAGAGATGCTTGCTTCCAATAATTGCCGTTAACGAAGCTGCAAGAACCTACCTGCTGTCTGTCTAGGAGACTGCTGGACCACCTGAACTTCTGGCTCGAAAACGTGGGATTGCTGAGGCTCCCTTCTTGATGCTACAGGACTACCATTCTGGTCACTTCCGGTCTGCACAATCTCTGTTGGCACTCTTTCAAGGCTCCCTTGTTTTCTTGGACTTCCTGGATTGCTGCCGTCATGCATTGAATCCCTGACTGGTTTCTTAGAGACGGGGGGGCCTCTCCTTGGAGTACGGGGACTTCCAGTCTCCTTCCTTGGTGACACATTGGCGGAAGTTGCTCTTGCTGCTGCGGGTGGACTTCCGGATGGGGCTTGTTTCCTGGCAACCACAAGAGACACCTTTCCTTTGGTTCTTTTTAATATGGCGACGGCCTGTAACGAGCATGTCAAGGTCTCAATATTAATTCTTCTAACTATCTCCCGGACATTTCTTTTATTTTCAGCTTTGAGAATTTAATGTTAAATCAAGCGCTGATGCGAACATATAATTTTCATGAAATGTCGTCACAACTCAACCCATCATGACCAAGCTCACCAAAGAATTCTCTGAGGTTCAGTGAGATAGCACTGGAGCATGGAATCCGGAGGTCTGAGGTTCGATTCTTCATACGGGACTCAGAAATATTTCTTTATCCTATGCTCGTGACAAGACAAAAATAGCAAACATCTCCCTGTATCCTCTTACGTCTTAGCCATTAAGAAAAATCAGAGGATCTCAATGTTGCTTCTAAAGATATCATTGATACGGCTGAATTTTTTCTCATCGCATCAGCACTTCACACAGCTTACCTCAGCATGAGTTAGTCCTACAATCGGTTGATTATCCACTGCAATCAACTGGTCTCCTTTTGTCAATCGCCCGTCCTAACGAGAAGAAATATTCACATTAAAAAGCTTACTCCTACTCCAAAGACAAAAAAAGCGTTGGAGTCCGTGACTAAAAAGGCCTTAGGAAGGCCGCTAAATACATGACGTCATAAAATAGCTTCTAACTCACAAAACATTCAACAGAAGGTCTTTACATAGAAGTCCCGTCTCCTGCAGGGTTAAGGGTTGGAGACGTTAATTTCCCACGCACGAGATTACTGTGTGATGATATCCTCCCCTAGGGTGTGATGGGTTGGAAGGTGAGATCGTTACATGGACTGAAGCGGCTGCCAGAGGCGCCTTGTAAAATGCTGACTTCCGATCTCAACCTTAACAATAACATGTAAAGCGGTATTGATCATCACATGTAAATATGCGCTATATAAATGGGAAGCAAGCTGGTACCTTTTGGGCAGATCCTCCTTCAGTGATGTCCTTCACATAAATCCCTGTTTGGCCTCCACCGAATCCGGGACCTTCCACTACAGCAAATCCAAGACCAGTTGGGCTCTGCCGAAAAAAATACATAGAAAAATTCTTTAAAAAAAAAAAGACCTATGCAAGTGCTTCCCCACGAGAATTAACAGTTGGATACGACCTTTCTACACACAATCGGCCAACCTCAGGAATATAATTCGTCACTGACATACCTTAACAAAGTCAATTCGCTCTACTTTCTGACCCCCTGACAGTTCTTGTAAAAGGGTCGGTGACACGGTAATACCTTCTGGAACCGGCGGTGGACTGGAACTCGGACTAGGCTCTGATCTCCGGGGACTTCCGATCTCTCGCCTCGGTGTTGACGGAGATGACTCGATGGAACGAACATTGAGTTGTTTTACCTCCTGTTCGGGCCATTGTTGGCCTCTAGGGGATTCCTGAGCCGGCGGTGTCCTGGATCGACTGAGGTAATCAGCTGCCTCTTGGGACCTGCCTAATACGAGATGAACTTCCGGTGGAGTATTCTGTCGGTTGAAAAGAAAGAGAAATTTTCAAATATCATCTTAATTAAGTCTGCATAAGACAATGAGAAAATGAAGGGCTGATGGGTTAAATCTTTCAAAAAGAAACTCCGACTTACTTTCAGAATCGTAGAAGCCTCGTAATGAGTCAGGCCCCGAATGGAGACTTCATTCACCTCAAGGATCTCGTCAGCTTGTTTAATTTTTCCATTTCTCTCCGCTGGTCCGCCTGGTTTGACGTCCACAACGAAAATACGGTTTGCCGCTGCACCTTTTCCGCCCGCGATACTCAGACCTTGTACAAAATTACGAAAAAAAAAGAAAATCAGAAGAGACAGTTGAGCACATGATTTTAAAGAAGAAAAAGTCATGTAGCAATCCCACAAGGAGTAAAATTAAAACCAAAATGCCTAGCTTTACAGACGCTTGACAAACAAAAACAAAAAAAAAAAAACCAAGAACGCGCGCAAAAGAGCAAACACGCGAGTTTGTGTCATGCGCACCGATCTTGGGCTTACCTAATAATTTGGATATATCAACAAAGTTGAAATGGTAAATTGGCCACCGTAACGATTACAAAAGCTGACGTTTCGAGCGTTAGCCCTTCGTCGGCTTACCTAGTCCAGTTCCCCCTTTAACCAGATCTACAAGAATGAAATCACCAGTGACATCCGGGTACTTGATCTTCAGTTGCCCTGGAAACGAAACATAGCAAGTGAGTTGTAAGGTGTTCGGCATTCTCTCGGCCTTCAGTAAGAACAGTTCTGACGACACCATATTCAGACTTCATTTTCGTTTGGTTCTCATTAGCAATCCGTCCATATCTTCTCCATCCTTAACCTTTTAATTCCTATGAGTGACCAGGAGAGCATTTCTCCTTACAATATCAATACAAAATCAAGCAAACAAGTAATGAGAATGAAGGAAAATATCAACTAAGGTAGTTAACCAAATACTAAGTTCTCCGAGCTAACATCTAAAGAATTAGAGAGAGAAATTTCACGTTAATAACTAAGGCTTGACTTACTTTTCCTATCTTCGTTGCTCCTGATGATGTTAAACTTGGACGGCAGATTCAACAGTTTGCTTTCGATTTCTGCTTTTACTCCCTCGGCCTGGACAACGCTTGCAGCTGGTTCCTCAGCTGTCAGATTTTTGGTGGGAATTGGAATGTCTTTCTTCAAGGACTCGTCCGATGGTAGATTGGCAGCCTCGGATGAGGGCCTGGCACCAGTAACGGTCACATTACTAGGTTCCGCCTGAAATCATGAAAATGTATTCATTTGCACACCAGTTCCCACCCCCCTGAATCTCAGATGGTTTTAACCTGAGGCAGGAGGGCCCTAACGCAGAACTTGTACCAAGCTTTGTGAGAAAAGTTTCGTTAATGTTCAAGTGACAGAACTTAAAAATTTCGATCGCATTGTATAATGAACACAACAACAAACACGAAACAACTCTTTTGCCAGATAAATCCTGGAAACAAAACTTTGAAAACAAGTTTAAAGGTTGCCTTGAAGCTTGGCAGGATTCAAATGCAAAAATAAGAACTACGAAAACCGTACGCTCTCAAACATAAACGATCCAATTCGCGAAACGAACTAAAAAATACATATCATTAAATAAATGTTAGGTATATGTTATTATCATTACCTGAGATGTGTGACCCCTAGCAAGGGTTAAACCTTTCGATTTACCAAAGCGAAACGGCATTTCAAAACAACAACAAAACTCAGCTCACAGTAAGAACCAACGGATACCTGTTCTGTTCTAATGTCTCTTTTATCTCAACAGCCGCGCGTCTTGTAAAAAAATTGTCGCGAATACATGATAACCTTCGCCGAATAGAAATTGTTCTCGTTGCAGCGCTTTCTCCATCGGTACGAAGAAAAATAATCCAAAACAAAAGAAACACACAGCTTTTAGCTACGTGCGAGCTTTTCAAGGAAGAACTCCATCCAGTCTGCGGAATGTAATGCTCATCGGAAGCAAATTTATCGCTTAAGTGGCTTATGCTTCGTATTCATTACGAAATTGGCGATAACAGCAATAACAATGAGCTTATTCTTATAAAACATAGCATTGTTTTCTTCTCCAGCAATTAATAATTTATAATGGAAAGCGTAATTCTCCAATTAGAAAATTGAATCGCAATCAATTAAAAGAAGTAATTAATTATTCAGGATGTTTGGGCTGCTTCGAGTACAAACCAATACTTGGCAAAGCATTTTTAATCCATACACCTGGGATTTCAGCGCTTTTAAAGGTCTTTTGAATGTTTTATTGTTTTGTTTTTTAATTATTTCCTACTGCATTTCAAAGTACTTAACACTGCAGACAGCAGTCTTTGGCATTAATAATTGCACGAAAAACAAAATGTATTTTGCTCTCTTGTCCTCAGTGACCGTAAAAGATCGCAAGAAAAAAGAAATACGAAACAATCCACTCACGATTCGTTATTTCAGAATTTGTTGTCGATCCTCGTCTCCTGAGGACGATTGCGTATAATAATTCAATTCATACACAAAAAAGTATATTTTAAAGAAGCTCTCCTGGCTTAATAAATCAAGGATAGACATTTTTAACGTCTTTGTCAATAACTCTACTCTGGTAAGATCTACCCGACTTCGAATGCTAAAATAGTACAACTTTTGCAGTCTCTCTCAACATTCAATGTCATGTTATAGTAAGTGGCCTTTGCTTACGTTGTTAAGACCGCTGAGTTCAGGCATGCGTGGTGGTTTGGGCGGAGGGATTAAATCAGAAGTTGGCACTGTTCTGACCACAAACCGCACCGGATTCTTGGCCCGTTTGATGATCTCAACAGCTTCGTCATGCGAGGCTTCACGTAGATCGTGCCCATCAACCTGTTAAGAGTAGAAAGTAACTTTAACTAATCACACAGAAATATCAAAAAATTTCAACCGCATTGAAGTCAGTGAAAGTGTTTTAGACACAAACTGAAAGACTCTCGCCTCCAATATCTGGTCACCAGTCGCCAGTGTTCCTAAACGCGCAGCAGGACTGGATTCTAGTACGTGTCTGATAAAGATCCCTTTGAGGCCCAGGCCCTGTGGTCCAGCTTTACCACCAATGATGCTTATCCCCAGTCCACTGTCAGGTTCTCGGGTGAGTTCGACCACGCGGACTCCAGGTTCATTATAGATTGGAGGTTTAACCGACTGAAGCAGTTCAGGCGGGTTATCTACTGTATCGGGAATGTCGTACTCTTCGGCATCTTCCCTGCAGTTTCAAAGATTTGTAAAAAAAAATTCGTAAAACAGCTTAAATCAAACGCGCGAGACAACGAAAATGACAGGCTGGGGCTTAGGCACACTTGCTCACGCTTCGCCGTGTCTTTTCACACTTCATTACGCTCTATCACGATGGTCACGCTTCGTCACGCTTAGTTGAACTCTTCCCGACCGTCGATATTTCAAAAGAGGAAGATCTATAACTGAAATACCTCATGGCTCTACTGAGAAGTTGGTCCAAATTGAGCAGAGTCATGTTTAATTCCTACACAATGATATATATTCAACATCTTTCTTTTAGGATGCTTTCGACGAAGCTGGATCCTCTTGTTGAGGGGGACTTAGAATTTTCCTTGTCTCACGCTCGTGACAAAATGATTGACACTGTCCTTTCGCAGTCACCTTTTTTGCTCTCGGTCAGCTTCAGCCTCGAGAGACTGGGACGAGGAATGCACAGATGAAGTTGAACTATCCTCAAGGAAGGACGAGGGGGACTGTTGAATAGCTCGTGCAGGAGTCATCTCGCTGCGAATGAATGTGAACCTAAAAAAGAGAAGAACGAGTTTAAAAGAAATATATAATACATAGCAACATATAGAAACAAAAAACCATATATTTCCTCAAAATTTGTTGATCTGTCGATTGTACTGTTTAATTTCTGACACTATATTTTAGACTCAAACGTGACCTTGAGGCCCATTTCACTGTGAGCCTTTAAGTATTGGTACATCCTTTTTCTATGAACTGTGTACCTCAATTTGTCCCTGGATACAAATTAAAATTGTTCCATGAATTGTCCAACTTTACAAATCTACTGTGCGTGGACCACTTAGCCACTTCTGAGCTCAATTCTAACACCAAACAAGGATTAGTGTGCTTATTTGAGTCTGAAAAGCTTCAGCAGATTTCTTTACTTACACGATGTCCTTAAACAAAGATTGCTTCCTGAGCACAGACCTATTAGAAATAAAAAACAATCAAAATCATTAATGAGGTCAAAGAAATTCTCATCCAACTAAAACCCACTAGAAATTACTTTTGTTCATCTCCGGATGGATGTTACTTCTCGTAATTAAATTTGTCTCCCTCGCCTAGTTAATTTCTATGGGGGGGGGGGGAGGARGACTGGGAGGTGAAGCGGGAGGGGAGGCACGTGCTTGCAAAGCTGACTTATTTAGAACTGCACCTGGCTCTGTGCCCTGCGAGTCCAATCATGCTTTCATCATTGACAGCAACAATATGATCCCCGACCCCAATCCGTCCATCCAGTCCAACAGCGCCTCCCTTGAGTACTGATTTGACAACACAACCGCAGCCATCTTCATCTCCCTTTAGAGTTAGTCCTAGAAGAAAGACAAGAAAAAATTAACAAAAGGGAAAGTCCACAAGAAGCTCACCCACTGGAAACGAAGTCCCTTGTTGAGGTAATCAAACGAGCGAGATTGTTCGCGCGATGGAGTTATTAAAGGCAAAAGCGTAGGTTGAGCACTGCCACAACGACCGATCAGTTTGAGATTGAGTGTCGAAAGTAACCTGGTATTGCACTGGCTTTGCATTAGTGCACTCTGTCATTGGTTCATAAAAACTAGCGCTATCCTCTCAACCAATCAGAGGCAAAATTAAAACCAACCGCGACCTAATCACGTTCGTTTTCCCGCGCTTAAATCCATTCTTCTCCATCCTTTTTTCCTTTGAGTTCTCATTGGCTCCTTGGAAAATCTCCTTTGCCTTGATTGACCGTTGTGCTAGCCTCGTTTCAGCTTTACGACACTCAACTGAAACGCGCTTTTGAACAACCAGCTATGAGCCCGTGCAACATCACTCAACTTACCCAATTTTCCAACCATCTGCCTTCTAATGGTTATAGTCTCCACTCTGGATTTGATATTTTCAGGTAAACTGTCCATATCTATAGAATCTCCTGAGAACAGCAAAGGCGGACCGAAGTCAAACTTAGACGAACGTTCACTTCCGCTGTCACTCAATTCATTGTCGCTCTCTTTTTCCACTTCGATGTCAGCCATTAAAGCAGTGTGCTTGTCTGAAGGAGTCATAATAGTAGAGAAAGGATCTAAGACTGCTTTACTAAGACGTCTGTAGATAAAACTCTCGTGTGTAACCTTTCAATAAAAGCTAACGATCACGACCTAGTTCTTCAAAGGACAGATAATGCTATCCGACGGGTTAATCGCTATCCACCAGATGTGTGAACAAAACGTACTGCGCTATCCACCATATAGAGATTTATGCAATGAATAGCGTTATCCAACCTTAGAACAACCTGGGCCAGTTCTTTTAAAAATTTCTGAGCAGGACGTTGAGGTGATGTATTGCTGAGTTTATAATGATAGAAAAGATGGCCCTAACCCTAACGCCTCTCGAGGTTAAACTCTTACGTATCACTGTTCAAAGGAAAGCTTCTACGCATTAATTTTATGTGGTATACTGTTAACTGCGTATGGGAGACGCAGTGGCTTTCTGTCCATTGTTTTGAGTCATAGGCCGAGACATTTTACTCTCACTGTCCATTTTCACCCGCGAGTGCTAATGGGTGCTGGCCGACTGTTACATACACCTGCAAAAATCAAATCCTAGTGTGCGAATATACAACTAGAAGTGCTTGTGTAGAACAGTACAGCACATTTATAAAGACGAAGTTTACCTCGTTTGTTCTGTGCGGTAGTTTCCAGTAATTGTTCACCCATGTACCTGGCGGTTTCTGGTGGAGTCTCTTCATATTCTTCATCTTCATCAGGTATTGGCCTAGCTATACCTATTCGTACTTTTCCTGAAATGAAGAGGTTCGTATCAGCAGCGGCCATAACAAAGCACAATGTCGTAGACAGGTTAACTGGTTAACAGAACACAGCAAAGGCGTATAGGGTCATATGACGCGTTGAAACCAATCAGTACAATACCTTGTGGGGCCCCTTTTAGTGTCTCGACGGCATAACTGAGGGAGGCATTTTCCAGATTGGTTTCATTGACAGACATTAGTCGATCAACTGGCTTCAGTCGTCCATCCTGTTCAGCCACGCCTCCAGGTACCAGACTCCGAATTACAATCACAGTTTTTTCGGGTGAAACTGGGTCCTAGCGATAGTAACAAGCTTGTCAGAGGATTACGCAAAGGTTTAAAAGCTAACGTTTTGAGCGTTAGCCCTTCGTCAGAGCGAATAGAGGAATTGTGGGTTGTGTGCGTGTTTGTATGCAGAAAGTGGAGCTACGCTATTGGTGAGAACGTGGTGACGTCGAGAAAAACAAGAATAAATTAGTAGAATGAAAAGCGTTCGTTGATCCCAATCCCATGGGATTAAGAGTGCGACCAGTGGCTAAACACTTTAATCAAGGATCCCAATCACATACGAACCTACATTTTAATCTACCGCAAACTCTCTGGAGCTGAGTTAAAAGACCACTCGTCAGCGAAATCAAAAGACCTACGGTTTTTAACCCAGCAGTGATGTCTTTGACAAATGTATGTGTAAATTCTTTTACAGTTTTCATAAGCGTCTCGAAACTGATTCACGAACCTCGATTCCCTTTTCCCGAAAGTTTCTAGAATCGAGAATCCAGTTTCGATACGAGACTGTCAACTTCATTTTGTGCGGTTCGCCAATTTAGTTAGCATCCAATGGGGCACGAACACGTTCTAGTCATCGAAAAGAAAGAAATTCTTGAAATTTCACAGTTGCTCACCTTGTAATCTAAGATACTAAATCCCAGTCCTCTGTCCTCCTTGTCCAGTTCCACGTATTCGATCTCGTCGGACCACATGGACTGAGACATAGCGGATTCATTAAGACCAGTAGGACTGGGGCTATCAGGCAAGGCTGACAACACAGGACTAGGAGTTGTCATGGCAATCTGTTCATAAGCATTATCTGAGAAATATAATAAGATGAAATATTACGATGAGAACAGAAGGTGCTACATTTACCTGTACCTCCTTAAAGACCACTTTTCGAGTGAGAGTGGTGATGCCGAAAGCACAGAAGTCATAGTTTGCTCCAGGAAATTTGGCGACTAGCAAAAAACGTAGGACAAGAGTGAGAAAACACGTGGGGGACTATGGAGAGGGGATGTTGAGATTATGTTAAGTTTAAGCCATATTGATTTGTTTGTTTGTTTATGCTTAATCGTAAGATTAGTCAGGCATCCCTAGCTAGGATAGCCGCGGAGGCTGGGAATGAAAGAAAAAACATTATGGGATAAGAGAAAAAAAGCACAGGAAGAGAGGGAGTTGGAAAACTTAGAGAGGTCGGAATTAAAATTGTTCAGTTTATTCAATTGAAAGTGAGTCGTGAGTATATTGTCAGAAGAAACATTTCGGACAGGGAGTCGCTCAATCTCAGACCTCCACTAATTTCACTTGATCGCTCTGTCGTCCATCTCTACGGACCGAAACCCTTGAACAGGTTCAAGTAATTACAATGGCCAATCAGAACAAAGCAAAATGTTGAAAGGAGCCAACAGGAACTCAAAGAGAAATCAAGCAAACTATCAGGAGCGCGGGAAAATGAATCGACCATATCACGCTTGGCTTTATGTTATATCTGATTGGTTGAGAGGGCAACACGAGTTTTCTAAACAAATCCCGAGGCAAAAAAGGGAAAAGCATTGCCATCCCAAAATCACTATCATTACTACTATTTTTGCGCGCGCAAGATGCAAAATCCGCTATGAACACTCATTAATTTCTCTCCCCATCTCATACCTTCTCTTTCAGTGTCAACTGGTTGACTCTCCACCTCAGTTCCAGTCCTTGCTGCGATAACTTCCTCGTCTGGCGACTCTCGTTTTCTGGCAACAACCAGGCGAAAATCCACTGGCAATCCTTGTATAAGCGCGACAACGTCAGAATGGTTCATCTCTAGAACACTGACACCATTTACCTTGAAATTTCACAAACGTACCATAAACAAATGAATAACACTGGATCACAACTTAAAGTACAATTTCATTGCTTCTTATCTTTCCCTTTATTTAAAAAGCCAACGCCGCAGTTGATAACAAGAATTTTCTCGATGAATGGTTCTCCCTTTAAAAAAACAGAATTAACCATGGGTAGACTAAGACGTCAAATGACGTCACCAACGCGATAAAACATTTCTTCAAATTATCTCGCCTTAGTGTGGCTTTTACAGCGGGCGTCAGTACTTAACATTGCACACCGTACCTCAACAAGGTGATCACCGGGTTTGACAATTCCATTCTGACCCACCGGTCCCTCAAAACTAACAGCATGGACTCTGTGCCACGGCAGGGAACCATCTTAAAAAAAATACAAACGGGGGTATTTTGATAATAAAACCTTTCCCTTATCTCCGCTATAATAAAAGTAGTTGACGAGACAACCAGTGTTAAGAAGACGTTACCGAACTTAATCGCGCGCGCGCTTTGAGATTACGTAAGTTAAACTGTCGTCAGCAAGTCACGCGGATTTTTTAGGGCGTGTGCAAGTTTTGGGAGTAAAAAGTTTTGAGTTTTAGAGTAGCAAGTTTTTTGGCGGTTGTTGGTGTTTACCGTGTTTACCGTGAGTTTACCGTTTACCGTGTTATGAATAAACGTGCTTATTTGATTTCCGTTTCCGCTTCCGAACTTTTCGTTTCTGGTGAGGCGCAAGGTTACGATAGCTGTATATCAGTGAGTTCTTTTTAAGGACTCTTTTGGACAAAACATAGGTTGCCTATATCTGAACATAAGCTTATTTTTTTGTCCCACATTGTCACTTCTCCACTTTGTCTTTCCTTAAGGTTTATATTTTACAATTTAGCACTGGAACTTTGATTTGAAATCAAACAATATCGTCTGTCTGATATATTTCTCGATTCCCTTCAACTTTTTTATTGAAAATGTATCGATACTGTGAAGAGAACTTCCGTTTTGGTCACTATTGGGACCAAAAAGGTTAACTCCGATTGCAAAACAACTTTTACCATGCGGATTCTGTGTTCCTTCTAAACTGATACCCAGGCCACCTCCTTCATGGAATTTGGAAATGTCAGCAACCAGAACATCGACACCATCCCCTACCAAGTGGCTGTAATGTTCTTTTATACTTTCTGGATCTAAAGAAATAAACATAAAAATTGAAAATTTATCTGTTCATCTATTCATGGATATGTGTCATTTGTGTTGACAGATTGTGTGCGCTGAAGTGAACAATACTCAGGGTTCTTACAGCAGATTGTGAGTCAGTAGCTGTATCAAGCATTTCTCACTTGAGAGTTGTAAAAGAAAAACCTAAGTAATCACAATACCATTCAGATCAAAATAAAAACAAGGACCTATCACAAGGAGCCAGTGAGAACTCAGAGTAAACACAAGAAAACTGAATGGCGTGGGAAGAAAGTAGGTGACCCATTCACAATTGGTTTCAGTTTTGCACTTGTTTTGTTGAGGGGCCTACATGTACATCTTCTGGACCAATCAACGACCATAGTGAAGCAGAACTAATCCTATCCCTGACTAACTACCACATCCAATTGAAAATTGATGTGTGTAAATGTTATGTGTATCACTAAAACTAGCTGGTTCATACACCAAGTCATGGTCCTGTAGGAACTGTGAGCAAAAGAAAGAATACGAAGGCAAGGAGAAGGGGGGTGCTGGGGAGGGGGTGTTGGGGGAGTATTGCAAGAGCTCTCACCTCTCTTTTTAGTCCTCGTGTACTAACTTCATTCCCTTTGCTCACCAAAAAAAAAAATTAAAAAAAAACAAACAAACATACACACAAGCATGTAACACCTGTGGATTGGATACACTTACCAGTAACATGCCTTGCTTCAAAAGCAGATGAATCAAGTCGCGTCACAGAAGATTCTGCAAGACTTGCACTAGACTGGGCGCTTAATGAGGTAGTTGGATGAGCCTCATCTGTGAAAGATGCAAGTACTTATCAATTATTCAATCTATTATATAAATTATATTTAGACTGATGTTAAAAGAAATGCATAATTGTATTACATACCAACAGGAGTCTGTTGTCTACTAAGGCGATGCTTAACATGACGAGCCACCTTTAGTCGAACAACAGGTCCAGTTTGTTTAAGAATTTCCACAGCTTGCTGGTTATTTTTGCCATGCAGACTAATGTCATCAACCTGTAGGAGTATTTGACAAGGAACAGCAGTTAACAAGGAAAAGCAGTTAACAAAGAATGGTCAGCCAAAGCTGGGTGGAGCAGGGAGGCAGTCAGGGCTTTAAATACTCCCCAAACAAAACCCATACCCCATGTTCCTTTTTCAATGAGGTCTTCTGATATTTCTATACCAAGGGCAGGAGTTACACTCTATAAATAAAGCCTGTTAACATTATGATTGTCAATTCTATCATACCTCAATGATTTGGTCATTAATCCTTAATCTTCCATCAACAGCAGCAGTACTCCCTTCTGCAATACTTTTAATAAAAATTCCTGACAATTCCGCTAAAGATGATAAAAACAATTGAATAAAACTTACTTTAAAAAAATCAGCAAAACAACTGATGTTAGTGCACTGCACTGAACTATGGGAGTGAGACACATGGGAAGCAGGGGCATGTTATCAGTTGACTGTTGTTGGCTTAGGGGAGGGGTGAGTGCATAGTTGCTCCGGTACTGACCCTGTCTAAGCATAGTTGTCTTTATAACATAAGCAAAGTAAAGCGCGCGCTCTGATTGGTCAATTTAGTGTCCCCCATTTGCCCATCGGTGTACGCTGCTGACGTGAGCAAATGCAAAGACTATTCCGCGCGCGCTTGTTTTTTCTGGTCACGTAAGATTTGTTAAATAAAAGGGAACTCTTTAGCTACAATGTATCAATGTTATGTTATAAAACAAATGGTAAACACCACAGCGTACACTATTGAGTTATGGATGCACTTGGGAGGTTTGCTAAGCACTCAAGCGACTCTTACGCTTCTTTCGTGCTTAGCAACCTCCCGCGTGCATCCATAACTCAATAGTGTACGCTGTGGTGTTTACCATTTGTTAATTGTCTCTGTCAAGTTCTTGTCACTGGACTCTGATGATAACTTCTGCTACAGTTGTTGTGACAGAAGTCAGCAATATTCATGAGCCCACATAACTTCAGGTAGCAGCTTCACACTCAATAAATTAGGACTGATTATACGATCATGATCACCATAGCAACATACATCATGCCAACTCACCTGATGACTGCTCGACATATCCAGCTATAGTTATTCCCAGGCCCCTGCTGTCCTTCACAAGTTCAACATCAAATGCTTCCACATCTTTGCTTTCCTGTAAAGCATCATAATGTTCATATTGTACACGCTGGAAATACAAAATTTGTGTTGTCTATGAGATTCACAATGCACCAACACCAGAGGTTCTACTAATTATTGAATGATTATTTCTCTTATCACTTTTCTGCTAGAAAATAAATGGAAACTGTAGGAAGAAATTCCTCTTCGACCATTTTTTAGAGTGAAAGGGCTAAACAACTTGCTAAGATTTGCCAAGTTGCATTTATTTGTTACCTCTGCTGTGGAGGAGGCGTCAATGTTAGAGTCATCCGTTACCAGTCTGGCAATAACAAGTTTTACATGCTGTCCAACTTTACGTAACACCTGGGCAACCTGTTCACTTCCCATACCACCGACATTTACTTCTCCAATTTGAAGAATGTGATCACCACTGCGCAATCGCCCATCCTAGATTGTCAACCAGAGAATAAACAGATGTAACCTGAAATTAATTTTAGTTAATTTTTCACGCAACTTGAAGCCTCCAACCTTTTCTAATTTGCAGGATAAAAAGCATTACACCATGCATTGTGCCTGATGCAGTAATGAAAGTTTTCACCAACTTTATAAATAGAAACAAAATGAACATACCCTATCAGCAACACCTCTAGGAAGGATGGTCTTCACAATAACCCCTGTGCTCCTACCTCCCACAATACCAAACCCCAACCCTGAGCCGTCATTGTGAAGTTCAACTGTTTCAATGTGTCGTAGGTTTTCTCCATCCCCAGCCTAGACAGAAAAAAGGTATTATTAAAATAAAGAGAGATGTTTCTTTTTTTTTTTTTTTTTTCGTCACAAGCATGTCATGCAAATAAACAAATCTAAGCCTCTAAGAAGAATTGATCTTCAGGCCTTTCCTTTAACTCCCATAATTATAACTGACCAAGACAGAATTTCTGCTTGCAATATCAATACAATACGAAGCAGACAAGTAATGAGAATCCAGAAGATTATCAAGTAGGGGATCATTAGTTGATCCAATACCAAATTCCCCAAACTCACATCATAAAAATTGTATAGCAGACAGTAAGGAGAATTGCTAATCAGATCTTGAGAGTGCTTAGGTCAATTCTGCATTCATTGGGTTTTTGAGCTACCAAACACTAATTTACCCTTTAAATCCCAGAAGTGATTAAAGGCCCATTTCCAACCGAGATGCCCTGTGCGCCCGGATCATTTTTCATATACGAAAAATACGCTATTTTCCTCGTAGTTGCGGAATCGCTTTGATATCTTCTTCCATCTTACTAATTAGGGCTTTCAAAGTTCCATCTTGAATCATGTGCGAACAACAAACTATCGTAGTATCCATATCAGTAAATAGTTTTTAATTCTTACATGTATGACAGTGAAAAACGTCATTTGAAAAGTTGATGCTGCCAAAGAAGCGGTCTAGAGGAAGGCCAAGTCTGCCCAGCTCGGCAAAGGTTATTCGACTTCGAGAGTCTGTGTATGACTTATGGAGGGCAAGGAAAACAACCATGGGTTTTGGTAACACTACAGAAAGTGCTTTTGCAGAAATGTTATGTTCCTACGATGGAACTAGAGACTCTGGGGAGGTTTTTTCGAGGTGAGAATGATTGTTTGACTGATTTTTACTTGAGATCCTGAGATATGTATGTAAGCGATCTCATTTGTAGAAGTCATTATTCTATAATTGAAATGCGTAAAGTAAATCAGTTTTGGCCAATATTGGTTATTTGTTTATATTTCATTTAGTGTTGAAGCTGAATAATTTCCTTCAACATCAGGTAAGCTTTGTACAAGTTTTATACACAGACTTGATTTATGATTTTTCAGTCTCAAATATTTAGCTGCAAATTTGTTTACTGTGTTATTCACCAAATCTTTGTTTTCCTTTGTAATAGTGTTTTTGAATGACTATCAGAGTTTGCCATTTAACAATAGCGTGATTCCAAAACAAAAACAAACGACTGCAAAGGATCTCGGATGGAAATGTGCCTTTAACATGTAGCTTTTCCCTATAATGTTTATATAGTATCCAGAAAACAAATAATGAGAACACTCAAACTCGTCAGGTAGAAGTTGTCATCTTGATCTAACACCAAATTCTTGTTACAAGTTCTAATCTACAATGAAATGTGTAGCATGAGCTAAAGGGGAGAGTTAACAATTGCATCTTGGGAGAGTTTAAGGGCAATAAGCAATTGCAGGCCATTACTAGTCATGTAGGTTCAAATATGACAGGTGTGTTGCATGCTCAGTGTTCTCCAAGGGCATCAGTGAGTGTTCTTTTGCAGTCCTCTCGTTTCTGAGGCTCCAGCCACTTTTAAAAATCAGACAAAGCAATAAAACACCTGTCTTGATCAAAGGCATTTTTGCATCTTGGGCACCTTTGCTTAACAGCTAGATTTTTTTCGGCTATAAGCAACTCAAAAATCGAAGTAGAACAGTGATAATGCTGGGATCAGCATATGTCATTATAACATAACCAAAGTAATAATAACATAACCAAAGTAAAGCGCACGCTCTGATTGGTCAATTTAGCGTCCCCCATTTGCCCATGGGTGTACGCTGCTGACGTGTGCAAATGCAAAGACTATTTTTCTGCGCGGGCTTGTATTTTCTGGTCGCGTAAGATTTGTTAAATAAAAGGGAACTCTTTAGCTACAATGTATCAATGTTATGTTATAAAACAAATGGTAAACACCACAGCGTACACTATTGAGTTATGGATGCACTTGGGAGGTTTGCTAAGCACTCAAGAAGCTAGAGTCGCTCTCGGCTATTGCCTCGAGCGACTCTTACGCTTCTCAGGTTTGTGCTTAGCAACCTCCCGCGTGCATCCAAAACTCAGTAGTGTATGCTGTGGTGTTTACCATTTGTTAAAAAGTAGTAAAAGGACTGGATAATTATAAGGTTCTGTGTGATGTCCAAAGTGCATTTCATATTTAATTCTTAACTACTGTAAGTGTATCAACAGATTATTCATAACATTCCATGGTTTACTTACAGGTACTGTCACAGATGTATGCGAAACAGTACTGACATCTGAAGGTGTGCGTGACAATGCTGAACTTGCTCCAGATGTAGTTCGCGATAGATTCCTTGAGCGTGGAATTCCACCTCTGGCTACAATCAGTTCAACTTCACCATTGGTTTGCTGTAAAACTCCAATAGCTTGCTGATGAGACATGCCACTGTCAAGCTGTTTGCCATCTATCGCAAGAATCTGGTCACTTTCTTGCAGCCTTCCATCCCTGAGAATGAAAGTGAAGTGTGAAATATACTACGTGTATACTGCATGTACATGCGCCTGCATTTCCAATATAACTAGCACCTTTTAGGTACAGTACTGTGATGATATTTGTGTGTATACAAACAAAATGTTTGACATGTTTGAGGGATCTTGAAATAAAAAGACATTCCAAGTGCTATGGAACAGTTATGTTCCTCATTTTGTTTTGTTCATTTCTCAATTCTCCATGACCATCTGGACAATGATGCAGATACAATAAATCCTGTAATGTTATTGCCTGCAAAATAGGTAAGGCAAGCCCTCTTTGGTCCCGCAGAGCAAGACACTATTAGTTACTGGATTCGGTACTGTATAATTTAAGACTGTAGTTTTATTTCTTTAAAACAAAAAATGGTTTCCTACACTTTCTAAACCAATGAGTTTTGTAATGTTTTTTGACAAATGAAAACTCTTGGCCATGAAATAAAGATTTTATTGACCAAGAGTATTACGTCAAGTTAGCTCCATATCAACCCTGTTCTTTGTTAGGGTTTTCATAAACCTCCAACCACATTAACCTCCCATCTGGTCAAAAAACTTTATTTTTTTTATAGACTTACCTTCCTGCAACACCATCAGGCTGTATCTCTTGAATAAAGATTCCCAACTCTCCACGATTTTCACTCTTCAGTCCCACAACACTGAAACCCAAACCACCCTGATCTGGTTTCATCAACTTCACTGTTTCAATTTCTCGACCCTGGGCCAGTGTTTCCATTCCTTTTTGAAAGTCTTCACTGTTGGCAAATTTGGATTTCTTAAGCTCAGCCATGACTTGATCTCGATTGTCAAGGGTTACATCATAGTCTATATCAACAGCAGCTTCGGCAGATGCATAATGATATGATGATGACGCTGCTGCATCCTGCCAATCCTCTGGATGACCATTTCTTGTTACTGTTTCATAGTGATTGGGTTCTTGGTTGAATACGCCTGCAGTGGATGGTGGTTCATTTCTTACTGCCACCTCTTCTGTGTCTGATACAGAATGGTGTGGAAATACAAGCTCTCCTGTGGGAGAAAAGTCAAAATCCTTAACTGAATCTGGTGGTGAATGTGTGAGTTTCTTGTTAAGTTCTTTAACTGATTGCTGAATCATCAAGAGTTGTCTAAACAGAGGGCTTTCAAGCATCTGTTTGATCCTTTCAAGTTCTTCATCATTCTCTGTGTCTCCCTGGGACTTCAGCCTCTGTTGAAGACCATTCAAAATTTCTGCAGCACGCGATGTATCTGTTGGAAAAATAAATTACAGTTTTTTCGTTAAATGGTGATAATGATAATCTTGATTGCAACATTACATCTTGCCGCCTCGTTTAACTCTAAGAAAGATTTCTTCAGATTGGGGCAGCGATCACAAAGAGCAAAATTTCCCAACCCTTGTGACCAAGAGTTTAGCTTCTTTCAACTAATGCTGAAATATGAATGGAATGCATAGCAGCTTCTGTAACAAAGCCGATCATAAACCTCAGGGATCTTAAATGCTGAATGGTTTCGAAAGCAAGAAACAATATAACACTGAAAATTACTTGTGTCACTTTCAACGTGGAAATCTAAGTGAATTGGAGCGATGCACTGGAGGAGAAACAAGCACAAAATTGTGACATCTTAGCTTAGGAATGATCTCGTATTTAATCAAGCTGTAAATCGAACTAGAAATATCTTAACGTAGCGACCTGAAAACGGTCCGATTTTCAAAGAAAGTCAACAAAATTTAAAATACATTAGAACAGAACCTTCAACTATGGTACGATTCATAACTAGTGTTTATAAGACCGATAAAATCAAATTAATTGCTCTGACCTGCTAAAGTCGGCATGGTGGTCGAATATAACTCGCTGTTTTCTCCAAAAAGTGACAAATCCCTGTGTTCCTTAAACTTTCAAAACTCTTTTCCTCAGTATCAAAGAGTCATAGATTATAACAGAACAATCACATCAAGCATCTGCTTCCAGACCATCGAATGACAAGTATGAAATTATGTCAAACGATTGGTAAATAATTTGTGAATTCGTCGCGTTTGTAAATAGTAACATAGAATGTTAGCCAGGCTACCAAGCAAAACGCCGATGTCCATCCACAATGCACTTCGAACGTGGTTTAACCGTGCTTCAGGGGGAAGTTGGGACGATGTCCTATATTACATAAATTTTTAGAACCGTCAAAATGATTTTCTCTGTTATGGATAATAGCTGCTCGAGCTAAAATGAATTTTTTTGGTGGAAAGCCTAGTTACATACATACATACATACATACATCCATACATAGGTTAATTGACCACATAGGGGCTTTTCAGGGCCAACACCCACCCATCCCACCCAGGGGAGGACATCCACCACACAGTAATCTCGTGTGTGGGAAAGTAACGTCTCCTACCCCTAACCCTGCAGGAGACGGGGCCTACGGTTTATTCGTCCTTCTCCGAGAAGACTAGAATATCTATCCATTTCTTGATTATAGAAAGGTAGCAAATTCTCCTCACTTATTTTAAGGTTACTTCCTACCTTCAGAGGCCGAAAAAATGTTTTTTTTTGGACTAGATTAAAGTTAGATATTTTAACTAACGTTTACAGAAAAAAAATTAAAAATCTCAAAAAGCGTCCGACTTATTTACAAAAACTTAGTCTCAAGTAAAAGTTAATAAATCAGGAAGGTCTCATAATCTCCTAAATGGGCGAACCCCCCGGGGGAATGTTCGCGGCAATTTCATGTCGTTTGCTAGCCTGCAGTGCCGGCGTATTTTGGGCGCACGATAGCACATTTTCGTATTAGGCCGCCATCTTAGATTTGGTAACTGTGGAGGATTGGGGCGAGGAAATATTTGCCGAGGGAGTAGGTGTTAAGTGAAAAAATGGGCAACGGGGGAGAGGGAGAGGAAGGAAAAAGCCCTCGGCAAATATTTCCTCGCCCCAATCCTCCACAGTTACCAAATCTAAGATGGCGGCCCAATACGAAAATGTGCACTCGTGCGCCCAAAATACGCCGGCACTGCAGGCTAGTCGTTTGCATATTTCATTTACATCGCGCACTTGACAAAATTCACACGTGGAAGTTACCTGCTAGTGAAAAGTCTTTTCTCATGGATAAAAAACATAACTCAAAATTAGAGAGGAGACCTTGGGTAAAGAAAAAGAAAAAAATAACAGGCCTAAAGAAAAGAGAAATGCCAGCATTTTGTCAAAAAAAAAAAAGAAAGAAAGAAAACAGTCCTTGCTGAAAGCGATACAAGCTCTTGGTTTGGCCAGGAGTCTTCGACAAGCTCGGTATCTGCTGAAGATCGGCAGCATTCGATTATCCTTAGGGCTAGCAACTTAAAAATTAAAGTCAACACCATAGAGGGTTGTAAACAAGATTCTTCGTCGGAATCTGACGAAACCGATGGAGAAAAAGAATGCGACTGATTTACCCTTTCTGCCGCGGGTTTTTCCTTCGCCGACTTTGTCCATTACTAAATAAGCAACAGAGCAAGATAAAAAAACGTGACTGCTACGCGATACTGTTCGCGGGAAAATCTTGATCCATTGTCATTGACGCCAGAAGGCCTCGTCTTCTCATTGGTTCGCGGCTTCATGAGACGGGATAATCTCCTGGTGTGGCGCTAGTTGTTTACAAACCTTTAGGAGCTAAAATCTCGCATTTGATTTTTTGAGGAATACATCCACTTTGAGCGAATTAGTTGGGTATGTAGATTTGACCGATTTTCGTGAAATTTCGCCAAAAGATTCCTGGAATGATGACGAAGAAAAGTGTGTCAGGAAATTTTGATACTTGAAAGATTTTTTACGTGGTGTCCATTTACTCGACGCGGTTCGCATATTTTTCGCTACTCTAACTTTAGATGCGAATATCTAGACAACCAATCAGAATATCGGAAAAGCCTGACATACTTTTGTTGATTGATGCCTTGTGAATGAGACTGCGCAGCCATTTTTCTCGTGCCGCTGGATCCGATACCCGATTAATTCAATAGAAGGACCCTCGGTCGTTTCACGCCTTACCGGCTCCTGACACTTCCTAAATGAAATAATCGCCTAAATTATATTTTTATCGTAAACTGCATTTATCAAGCTTTCTTTTGATGTATAGTTTGTTGGGGTTTTCTTCAAACTAGCGCGCGCACGAATTTTTTCCCGAAGGACACCCGCGAAGGGTGAAGTAACCTTAAGACCATGCGTATTGGTCCGGACTATTTTATATTTCATTCATACTATAAAATAGTAAACAGCGGCAAAAACAAAGCCAAATTCATGAACAGAGAAGCACTGATTCACAGGAAGGTGTCTTTTTGAATGCGGGTTTAGCGTTTTATTGTTTTAACTATATTCAGTTAAACAACAAACATATGAAATACATATATATGAACTGCGGTTATGAAACGTATATGTGCACGATCCTTCGCAGTATAGCACTATTTAAGCAATAGTGAAAATCAGACCTGAAAAAAATTCAGGCCTGTACGGGATTCGAACCACTGACCTCTGCGATACTAGTGCAGCGCTCTACCAATTGAGCTAACAAGCCAACTTTTCCCAGCGGAAGTTACTTGAGATTACACAGTCATCAGATTATTCCATGAAAGCTTTACGTCAATAAATACTTGACAAATAACCAAAAAATATATATTTGCAGCTGCATAATGGGGGAGTTTTACCAAAACACCCACATGCACCACCTTCAATTTCTTCTGTTTTGGTTATCTAGTAATTTTTAAGGCCAAAAATTTCCGAATGGTCTCACCAAGATATCAATTTTGTTTGTGAGCCGGATGAGTTAAACTTCAAATCAAACTCAGTAATAACAACTAAAAGTGTGTTTTTCCGATGGCAGATATCTCTCGGCACCAGAGCCTGAAAGAGCGGCACCACGTTATAGGCGGCTACAATGGCGCAAAGTGGCGCAAAGTAAAACGGGCAAGATCTTACTCAAACGTCACCAAGAATTGTAATTTGTGTTTGTGGGAGAAGAATTCTATTTTGTGTAAGCCCGAAATGACGTCAACCTTAAACAACCGAAATGTAGACACTAGGAAATTTCTGCTAAAAATTTCATCCCCTTATTAACGCACGCTGCGCTACACAGCACACGTTTTTTCAAATAACTTTGAATTTCACGTTTTTCAGGCAGTTGTCTGATGATTGCTTCTGATGGAGCATAAAACTCTGAGTAACAATTAAATTTCTTGGACCAAATAACCCAACTCGTTGCTGATAATATTATATATATATATATATATATATATATATATAATATATATAATATATATATATATTGTGGGAGGAAAAAGACAAGTAAAATACAAGTTCATCCCTACAAGCCTGTTTCGTGGTCGCCCACNNNNATTTTAAGAAAAATGTTGTAGTACACGAGGACGGACAACTTCGAGCTAAGAAATGGAGCTACGTTATTGGTGGGAACCCACTCGTCAGGGGCGATGAGTGGGCGACCACGAAACAGGAAACTGGTAACTGGTTTGAACATTTTTACTAAATGGTGGGTTGAACCAAATTAGTAATGCGTAAGTTGTTTTTGGCGAACACTTTGCAGATTTCTTTTTTGATTTTTTTAATAGTTTGTGGAGTTTGGTCGATTACTGCCAAGCCGTCATCTCTGTAAAGCCCAATTTCCATACCGTGAGGTATTTCTTTAAGTTGCGAGAGCATGTAGATTCCTACTAAATCGCATGTTTAAGCTCTGTCATAACTACCCATGGTGACATCGAAGAGCGTGTCGGTGTTTCTCTTCTGCCAAGGGTTTTCGTTGTTGAAAAGGAGGGATTGTTTAGCTTGTATGATTATTCGACGATCATCATCTGAAATGGTCACATAATCAGCTGCGAAGTCGAGGGCACGCTGGAGTAGTGTCTCTGATATGGAAGGGTAGAATTCCACTACATCAGAGGTTATGAAAGCGCACCTGTGTTTGTTAGGCCGGATTGATTGCACTCTACACTAGCGCCTTACTAACATTTGATAGCGTTACTACTAATCTTTTATTTTTTCTTCCAGTGTACCATTCTTAGTCTTTAAAAAGGAGAGACACATCAGTGCAATCCAAGGCCTATTGGTTAGTCACATTCTGTCTAGAGGATATACGGTCCTCTGTAAATATTAAATAAGCTCAATTTTCGATACTGATCAGCTGTTCTTAATTAGAGAAACTCGGTTCTTTTATTTGTAGTTTGGGCTCAATTTTTAATAGTGGTAAGCTGCGTCTGGCTAAAGACAGCACGGTTTCGTTATTCTATGTTGGTTTAACTTTCTATACTGGTTAACTGGCTACGTGTGAACTAGAGAAGGTACGTTTTATTGGAGGCGGTAAGCTCCAACTTCTGATCAGATATGTCTTGCAAGAGAGAGCACAGTTGTTTATAAGTTGCTCAATTTTTAACACTGATTAGTTACGTTCTGGGTAAAGTAGAGAAAGCCTACTCCTTTGTTCGTAGCTCAGGCTCTGATTAGTTACGTTCTGACATTGAGAAAGCACGATTTCTGTAATCGTAACTGGCTTAGTTTTGAATTGACGGTTACTATGTGTAATTTGCTAAATTTTCACCTCTGATTTACTATATCCTAGTCTAAGTAAACATTATATCTTTATCTGTTATTGGTGGAATTCCTAATACTGATATAAGGTAAAGTCTGTTTGCGAGCCTAGTGGCCTATTAGACTCCGGTTTCTGTAACATGAAGCGACTAAGAGTATTTCTACCCCCGAGCGCACTAGCCATGAGGCCACCGCGCCTCCACAATACTGATATATAGTTTCATAAAAGTCAATTCTTGAAGAGAGACAGTGAAGAGCACAATACATTATATTGGGCGGATCACGATATCTGAAGTACAGGGGAGAATCATCTTCATGTTCTTCAAAATAAAGTTTGATTATAACACTGATACTGGCTGTAAGTTCGCTCACAAAGATATCAACAGTATTAGGCTTACGTATAAATCTGTGGGCGGCAAAGGTGTTTCAATTCAAAGATTACAATTAGATTTTCTCGAAATTACTGATAATTTTTCTGACGTAAAAATATGCCAAAATTCATCAATTTTTTTTCAGCTGAAATGGGTTATACTTTTTTTCTTATTTTCGGTGCTGACTGATAAATTAGTTACCCTAGTTTTTTAATGCTGCTGTGATATATGACTATCATATTCAATATTAATAGAATTGGCTATTTTTGTTCCGAGGTTAGTATGTTTTGTTTAGGTTTTTATGGAAAAAATGGCTATGACTATGATTTTATAGGAACCCCTTTGCTTAAACTGCCCAGGCCTTTTATCAGACCCTCTTAAAATAACGTTTGACTACACTTCAAGTATGGTTTACAGTGTGTCTTCACCAGATAACCTCTTTCTAGCATCAATGTCCTCGCAGAAACTGAACGGGCGACAGAAGTACCTAGCTAAAAAGTAGGGTTTTCTTTATCAGTTCAACTGTTTATTGCTATGATTTTATATTTTTAGATGCCCCTGAAATCTGGCGTAAGGTGCTGGATTCTTTGTTTAATCATAGTGATATTCAGTTCGAATACAATGATCATCTTTTTAGCTCGAGCAATTAGCAAAGCTAGATTGTTCAAAGGCTAGATTATCTAAGAGGTGTTTCAAGCTGTTCCAGGAAAGTTTCAACCTTTTTCTGACGACGAATTTCTGACTGTATTGAGAATTACTACAATAAAATAGTGAGCACATGTCGTACTTGCGAAAGATATCTACTTGGAAGTAATTTCTTTGCTGGGAATTCAATTAAAACATTACTATATCTGGCTTAGATCAAGTTACAAATAATCTAGAATCTCTTTTTGTATATTTGTAGTCTAACAACGATCAGTTCTGAACTTTGAACGTTAAAAACAGTTTAAATCATGCACAGGCTTTTTCCAGTTGATTTCGACATAAGGCGAAAACTAAAAAAAACTTGTGTTCGGCAATTTCCTAGAGACAAAAAATTATTCACATTTTTGTGTAAGCAGATCTGCAACTCATTAAAGCGGAATTCATATGCAAAACTGTACCGATAAACAACAAATAAATGACATTATCACGGACTTTTTGTAGTAAATATTGGTTCAAGCTTTGCTCAAGGACTTCAGTTGCCGAAACGTTTGATGAGATAACACAACTGCACTTCTCTATTTGAAATTTTTGCTGAGTTTGTTTAGTTATCCCGATCGTTTTTGTTCCAAAAGCCCTCCAAGGAGATTCAAATAAATATTTCAATCCAAGATAAACCACAACGTGTTTTGATTTATTAATCCCCTCCTAAGCTTAAGAGCCGGAAATTATATTTAACTGCTCGTTAAAGAGCCTTCTCAACGCACGAAAGAGTCAGGTTTTCACGCCAAGAATCATTCTTTCCAACTGTCCGGCTCACTTCGCGAATGCCTTGCACATCTTCCAATTTTATTCACTGAAGTTTTGCGTCCTAAGGCGTTAGCTTTAGAGGAACGGAACTATTTTATAAGGTAAAGTCACAATAAGAAATTCTTGTTTTCAGTTACTGAAATGTGTAAAGAATTAATCTTTGTTTTCTATCTGCTAAACCCCAAATTTCTCTGCCTGTGTAAACTGTTATGACAGCTACTTTGAAGCTATGGTCTAATGTTAAGAAATATGCGAAGTTTTTGAAAACTGATTATTTTGTTAAACCACCGAGTTGATTACATTCAGCAAACTAGAATGGTAAAATAAAACGATCTAATTGTGGCAGCTCTTGCAATCAGAATACTGGTTTATCGACGAAACGCAACAACAACAGCCCACGCCTCTTTGATATGAATACATTTTTTTTTTTTTCAAATAGAGTAAACAGCAATAGTAAACATGCATGGATTCAATCGTTGCATTTATCTTAGAGATCTCTCCGATTTTCTTCCAATGCTGTTATATTTTTTCGAATTTATTGCTAACGGTGTTATGCATGAGCTACATAGCTGAGCCTGATGATATTGGTTCAAGTTCTGCTGTCTTTTGATACACCGCAGCTTTCTGCTAATCTTCGTCAGTAACAAAGCTTGAAATTTCGACCTTAAGGCGCATAAAGACAAGTCTTTTGAATAAAGTGCTTTAAAGTTTAAAAATGTTCGTGTTTGAGCTCTTAAGCGCAATCCAGCGAAGTAAGACGTCAAGCCCTCAAAGAACTCTTTCCCAAAGACGCTAATTAACCGTGGACTAAACTTTCACACTATGCCGCAATACATTCAGTTCTGCAGAAAATATTATGCACCACAGGAGCTTTTTGTTGAAGAGCTTTTATCTACTTTTCATTCATCCACACATTTATGGGGGTAAAGAAGCACTATATTATTACCGAGTTGAACCAATTTTTTTCTTGCTTTCCGCGGCACGTTCTGGGCGTACAAGTCGTGTAACTAGTGCAGAGTAGATAAAACGTTTTAGGACCATTTGAACACACACACGCACTGGGGCCTCATAGTTAAATTAAGAATACTGCAGGGTGTATAGCTAATGAAGCGAGTCAACAATAGATGGTATTTGAACAGTTCATTATCGTCCACACATGAATGTAGCGTAGGCTGTTTTATTCGATGTCATAACTTGTTGCATGGCGGATGTATATGGAAACCCGCTAAAAATATTAGTAGAATGTTTCTGTACAGATTTATGCTTTCAAAACATTATCTTGATCGGCTCATTCATAATAACTTGAACTTTGACTTAAGGCTAAATAAATTGCTTTTGAAAAATCTCAGGAGAAACATCAAGATGTTTATATTTTAAGAATGAAATTGTGATCCGCTTTTCAGCCCCTGCATATATGTAATGTGGTTGTTTACGAGGTTTTGTTCAGTTCTCGCGCCCGCCCAAATTTTCCCCGCCCAGTTAGTCGTGTTTTGCCGGAAAAGAAGAAAATATAAAACCTCTAGATTGGATTTGAATGAAATAATTGATCATTACGAATTATCAATTAGAGAAGAACGCAGTTTTTAATCATGCATTCAAAAATTAAACTCTGCAGGATCAGTTTTTGTGAAGAACAAATCTACAAATCTCCTATGTGTTCCCTTATAATGGTAACGTTTTCAGCTTCTGTATTGCTGCCAAGATCAGTACTGTATGTTTTGATATAAGCAGATTATTCGCGCATTTAGATGATTTCGATCAACTGAGTCAACGAGTAACATTGAAACGCCCGATATAAGGCATCTCTTAAGCTCAACTGCTGATACTCTATCACGACTAAACCGCGCCAAATTGTCGGAGAAGGTAAGAAACTCTTCTGGTTGAAGAATGTAATAGCAACTTGATCAATTTCTTCACCACATCTCCAGAGATTTGCAAATTTAACTAACTTCCTCAATGTTTGAAATCCTCAAAAGAAAAACACACAAAAGACGTGAATGTAGTTTTTAAGACACTGAAACATCAAACCAGAGAATAACGCAAAGCTATGATGTAATTAGCGGAAAGCTTTCCATGTTCATGGTCTGCTTTAGAAAATGATTTTTCAATATCTCAGAGCAAAAGTTATACAGGTAACACTAAGTTTCGATATCAACTCTCTGCTGTTTATTTTTAGTCGTATTATTTCATTATTCTGCAAATAATGTGTCAAATATCTCCATGTCTGGCTAGAAATTATACTGATTGCAGATGTTCAAAAAGTAATTGTGATTGAAGAAGAAACAAGTTTTTCGTGTGCCGCCGTGTTTGATATAAATGAGAAATTTAAACTCATCAAACTTTGATTAATCACATATGATTTATAGAACTGTTGTTGTTTACCATGTTTGCTATTTTCCTTTTCATGTCTTTTTCCTTTTTTTTTTCTATTAGACTGCCAAATGTACATCGTTAAGAGAGCGAAACTTCGAAAATATTTTTTAAGTTTCCCTGAATTGTTAACTTTTATTTAACTTGGGTTTTGCACGAATAGGTGTTTATATATATATATATATATATAGAGATTTTATATTCTGACGAGTGAGCAATCACGAAACAGGCTTGTGGGGATGAACTGCGTAGTTTTTGTATTTTCCTAACTGAACATATATTGCGCTCTACTTTTATATATGGAGTGCTGCAACACGGAAAAATCGAA